GCATATGAGATGCTACAACTAACAAGTATTCAACTCGGAATTGAAATATAATGCAATTAATATGATGGGCCGAGCTCGGTGCATGCAAGACAGATGAATGAATGCAAACATGCTATCATAAGTATGCTAATTGAAACATGCCCTAAACTAACCATCATAAGCTGGTAAATAAAAGGGAGAAAGACGTGGGGTTGGAAGACATACATCACACACACGCACACTTATTACAACAATTGGCCCTCTCTCGAAGGGTCTGAAAGAATATTACACAACCAAAATAAATAACGAATTATTGCACAGTACTAATTACTTAACAAATGAATTAGGTAAGCAAAGTAAACTGGCATGCTATGCTACGTGTAATGGACTGCCTCAGCTCTGTTCCGAATGATGAAGGATGCATGCATACTCGGGTCGCCTTGTCAGGAAATTCCATCGCGATGCCTCGCATCGCCTTTGTTTGCAATTGATCTCAGAAACTTGCACAAAGCTCCAGAAGGATGAAACTCCACCTTGGGAAGGCCACCGACCGGTTATTAGCATGGGAGACCACCTGCTGACCACCCTTTGTGGTGGAGATCAAAGAGGGTGGTCGGCCTGCCAGAAAATCTGGTCGGTCGACCAGTTTCCACCTCTGGTTTTTGGTTTTTCTGCAACAAAGGCAAGAGAGAGAAAAGGCAATGTATTTTCAACAAATGTGTGCATGACCACTCTCCCCGTCCTTGCATAAGCTTAAGGGATTGTGGTCATCGATCCTCGTGCCACCAATCACGCATCTCGATGCATGATGGCCGAGAAGTCGAATTGCACGACTCGATGTGAAATGAATGCACATATAAGCAAGTAAAGCCAACAACTCTATTATGGATAGTCAAGAGTGTCGGCTTGGAGCCCTTCTCTACAAGGGTAAGTCTCTATTTCCCTCTTTGTAGCCTTATTTTGCTTCATAGTTTAGCTCTATTTACAAGGCTACAAAGAGGGAAATAGAGACTTACCCTTGTAGAGAAGAAGACCAGCAACTTCTGGACCAAAATAGGAACCCTTCAACCTCTGAAAATGAGCTCCTAGGTGCTTAGGTTGACCATGGAGGTGTTGTGCTTGGAGGTGTAGTGCAATGGGGCCAAGAACTAGGAGTTTTGGACACCAAAAGAGAATGATATAGAGAGAGAGAGGTGTATGCCTTAGCAAAAATTTCTCAACCTTGGCTCATGAGGGAGAGGCTCCCTCTTATAGAAGAGGAGGTCCATAGCTTCTCTAAGAAGCTTGGAGCAAAGAGGCCAAGCTTCTAAAGGAAGCTAAACCAAAAGGGTCAAGCTTCTTGAGGAAGCTAGACCAAAGGGGTGAAGCTTCCTCAAGAAGCTCAACAAAAGGTCAAGCTTCTCTTAGAAGTTAAGTAAAAGGGACCAAGCTTCTTTAAGAAGCCAAAACAAGAGGGTCAATCCTCAGAGGATGGGGCAAATGCCTCACAGCTGGCACAGCTGGATAGCACTCAAAGAGACAAAAAAGTAGAAGGCTGGCCGACCAGTTCAAGTGGTCGGCCGACCACTTGCCCTGGTCGGCCGACCAGGGGTCAAAAGGTTCAAGTTGAAAAGGTGGTCGGCCTACACATATTGATGGTCTCCCAGGTGAATGCAACTCAAATGGTGGTGTGGGAGACCAGAAATTGTGGCTCAAAAGTGAGGGAGACCACTTACCTGTCAAGAAAAACCTACCGACCGGGGAAAGGTGGTCTCCAAGAAGAAAAGGTGGTCGCCCACCATACTACCACCTTCCTAACAATGAAACTAGGGTCCATGCCAAAAATGAACCCACACTGATGCGGAACGAAGGTTCGGGGGCCAAAATGTGCAGTCGGGGGCCCCGAAAACTGACTATTAAGCATCGAAAGTGGCGTACGACCACGAAGGTGGTCTCCCGGGCTACAGTGTCCATCTAATGAGAGGAAGCAAGGTGTGTGCCATAAATCGGCGCAAACAGAGGTAGTTAAGCGGTCCCGAACCGAGGCACACGGCCGACGGCTCCGAAAACTGAAAACTGCTCTCCAAACGGGAAAAATGGCCTACGACCACGAAACGTAGCCTACGACCACTGAGAGATGGTCTACGAGACCTCTCCCTCCATTTAGGAAGAGAAAACAGAGAAAACAGGACCTGGTTCACAAACCGAGGCAAGGCACGAAAAGGTTCCAAAACCCGGAGGCAAGGCTCTCAGCCGAGACTTTGCAACCTCAGAACGAGCACAATATGCAACATCATTGAGCGCTCAGTTGGTGACGTCTGAGTCTTAAGGTCGGTCAAAAATGGGGTGTCTACAGTTGCCCCTCTTTGACAGAACTCGAAAGTCATAAGTGACGGGAGTGAATGTCAAAGCCCAGAGACGACCTATTTTTGACAAGGCCGAAGACTTAGACAAACAGGCAAGATAAAAGAGATGCGCCCACAAGCGGGGGGCAAAATGCAAAATGATATGCACCAAGTCGAACGTAACTCATGATCATGCGAGGCAGCAAACTGTAATGAAGCAAATATTCACAATAGATGCAACAGTTTTAAACAAGAATGCAAAGTAATAACTACATTTCATGCAGTAAGAATGTAAGAGAATCACAATTCTCGCTACATCCCACACGGAGAAGATACAATACCTGCGCGGTTCGTCTGGTCGCACCAACTTCAAATGAACCGTACATACAATATCGTGCCTGCAAAAGAGAGAAACTTAACAAGCACAACATAGTTAGCAACACATGTTCAACACTACATCGAATGCAGACAAACATGGTGCCGATGGGAAAGTGCATCACAATGCGAGAGAAGCGTGCGTGACAATGCAAGTTAAGTATGGACGTATGACAATACCAGTGAAACATGCACCACAATGTAAGCGATGTTCATAACAATGCAAGCGGCATGCATAACAATGCTGGATAAGTGCGACTTTACGAGCATGTTTAAAACAAAACATTGAGCAAAGAAATGCAAGCTTCGACGAGGACAACTCAAATCGCGACCTCCGGTTTACCTCCCGGAAGGATCACAATGTATTCAAAAAGGGTATACCTCGCTCTCGGCGAGTAACGATGAAACACGCATCGAAAGTTGGAGTTGAAGTTTCCACGGAGGGATTTCGTGCTGAAAAGTGCACTTTCCTTGTACTTTCTCGAGTGCCGGGGACTCCGATCACCACCTAAATTTGCAAGGAGCTCAAAGAGGCATTGGAGACCACCTTGGGAGGGCCACCGACCAGGTTTGGAGACCACCGACCAGGTTTAGTGAAAAGGGTGGTCGGCCTACCAGAAAAGGTGGCCGGCCGACCACCTATCCAAAAACAGGGGCAGTTTGGTACTTTTGCATTTGTTTCTTTAAATATACTTGGCCAAACACTTTTTGCTCACAACTTTAGGTCCGAAATTAGCTCCTCCTCCTTCCTAGACCATTTTCTCCCTCAGATCTGCGCTCTATACGCGTTTTCCAACGCCCCACGCAAAGTTGTTTCGCGAAATCTTTCAGTTTTCTTCACTTTGGACCCGATTAAAATTTAATTTCGGAGCTTCTTTCCCCATTTTCGCCACTTGAGGTAAGTTTGTCTCAACATTTGGAACATTTTCTCGGGAGTTGACTTTTGTTGACTTTTTCATTTCCCGAGAGTTGACTTTTGTTGACTTTTTTCAATTTTGGCTCATTTTGCTCATTTTTGCTCCTTCTTGCAGATTTCTCGAAATGGCAAGTCATTTTCCTCAGGGCGGAGGTCCTCCAGGTGCCGGGGGTGAGCCAGACATTATGTCTTTACCTCCGAGGATTCGGCCATTTATTCCCGAGAGGTATGACCCTCCGGTGCACATCCTTCCTCGGGCCGTTTTCTACCACTTCACCGACTTTGATGAGCGAGCACCTGTAGATCTATTACTGCAGGAGCCAGAGTCCCACCTCTCTTATCAGGCATGAGAGATATGTACTTCACTTTTACATTTTCTGCAATGTATTTTGCATTTTCCGTGCTTTTCATGCTTTTGCTATGTATTTTTTATCTGCTCGTTCTGAACGCGTTCACACACCATACTTCTGCTTATTCTAGCACACAGCTCACAGCACAGTATTTTGTTAAGTTGACACGCAACTCAAGCACTCAAATTTTTGAACACACAGCTCACACTTTGATGATGAACACACAACCCACTATTTGACGGCGAACACACAGTCCACTATTTTCTGAAATCTGAACACACAACCCAAACTTGTTGATTATGAACACGCAGTCCACTATTTTTGAAGTCTGAACACATAGCTCAAACACTTGATGTTGAACACACAGCTCGAACTTTGAGATGAACACACAGCCCACTGTTTTGAAATTTGAACACGCAGCCTAAACTTTGATGTTGAACATACAACTCACACTTTGATGATGAACACATAGCTCACTGTTTTTGAAGCCTGAACACACAGCTCAAACACTTGACTTTCTGAACACGCAGCCCAAATTTTGAGGTGAACACACAGCACACACTGGTTGAGAGTTGAACATGCAGCCCAAACTGTTGTATTTCTGAACACGCAGCCTAAATTTTGAGGTGAGCACACAGCACACACTGGTTGAGAGTTGAACACGGAGCTGAAACTGTTGAATTTCTGAACATGTAACTCAAATTTTGAGGTGAACACACAGCACACACTGGTTGAGAGTTGAACACGCAGCTCACTGTCTTTGAAATCTAAACACGCAGCCCGAATACTTGATGTTGAACACACAGCTCGAACTTTGAGATGGACACATAACCCATATACTTTATGTTGAACACGCAGCTCACACACTTGGCTAGGTTTGGCATAACCTATATAATCCATCCTTTTATCTTTTTATCTTTTTTCCATCACATCACCTCTCTACTTTTTTACACATCTTTTCGTAAAAAGACAAAAAGTGCACCTTTTTAGGACACCCCAAACCAACACGCAGCTCACACACTTTAATTCTGAAAACACAGCCCATATACTTCATGTTCAACACGCAGCTCATGGCATTGTATCTGATTTAATTTGGACACAGCTCATATACTTTATTTTGAAATTGAATACATGTGCTCATTCTGAATGCAGGTATCTTCCCGTATTACACGAGGATATGGATCGATCATCGCCAGGGAGTGGTACGCGGAGCTCCCAGAGGCCGTTCGCGATCTGGTTGACTAGGCAGGGTTCGGACCCTTCTGCATGGGGATATCACGTTATCCAGCGAGCAGGACCCTGATGGGCGCCCTCGTGGAGAGATGGTGGGACACCACCATCTCCTTCCATTTCTCAGCTACCGGGGACATGACGATGACCCCGTTCGACTTTGTCGTGCTGACGGGCCTTAACTCGGGAGGCTGGCCAATCCCCTATGACGAGGATATGGGTGAGTGGGAGGCTGCCTGGATTTATCTGTTCGGAGCTCGCCCACCGGTTGACAGATCTTCGGGCCGAGTCCGGTACACTTGGTTTTCCACACAGTTCAGGGAGACTATGCCCGAGACTCCTGAGGAGATAGCACAGTACACTCGGGGATTTTTGATGTTCTTTTTCGGGACCACTCTGTTCTCTAATAGGGGGAACACCGTTGGACTTTATCTGCTGAGTGCTCTGGTAGACCTATCACAGGTTAGCCAGTATGACTGGGGTGGCGCCGGCTTGGCTACCCTCTACTGCTACATGAGTGCGACCTCTCGCGGACGGGGGAACATAGTTGGCGGCTATTGGAGAGCCTGGGAGGTACTTTCTACCCTCTTGATTTACATTTCTGCTTTTCGTTATCTGTACACTGCACACACGACACACTTTACATTTTGTACTTTACATTCCACTCTTAGCATTCTGCATTCTCTGTACATTATGTATTCACATTCTGCACTCAGCATTCTGTATTCTGATGGCTATTGCCCTGTTTTCCACTGCTATGGGTTTTCGCGTACTTTCCGACGCTAGCCCCGGAGCTTGAGGTGGAGGTGCCTGTCATGATTCCTTACTCGCTTGTATTTGAGGGCCAGTACCGGCCGAGAGCTCGGGAGACTCTCCCCTATCTGCAGTAGTTTTTTGATACAGTGCGGACAACCGAGGTAATTCAGAACTCTCAGTTCTTCATGTTTTCATCTTTGATTCATCTTGCACATTTACGATTTCTAATCGGCATATGCATTGGTTATCCGCAGATCACATGGCAGCCCTAGGTGCCCTTGGGTGGAGATACCCGATTTCAGTTTGCTGGAGGATGGGCCGCTTCTCGGTACAGGATCCTATTTGAGGGGCCCGTTGGTAGGGCCTGGTTTCTGGGGGATCGCTTCATGCGCCAGACTATGGGCTTCCCCGAGCAGAGTGTCCCCGCAGCACCTTTGGACGATATGCGGTCTACTGAGGGGCTCATTCCCTAGGATGTCGATAGCGCCATGTTGGGTACCGACGTACTTCTACATTTGGAGGAGGGGGAGTACGCGACTTACCGTCATACATACTTGATGCCTCCATTGACAGGTGTCCGTACTCCCACGAGGAGGTCTGCTGGCATGCCATCATCGAGCCAGGCCCGGGCTGCAGATATTCCTTCGACCAGTAGGGCCGGCACATCGAGAGGTGGGGTTACACTGGTCCCCCTAATTTCCCCAACACCATCACGCCGGATGGCCAGATATCCTGACTGAGTTGACAGGATGGCGATACGGGACTTCCTACCTGATTCCGATAGAGCCTCCTATGCCAGATCACCGATATGTCAGAGACCTTGACTTGCCACCGGTGTGCTTTACAGCTTTGATTTATCACTCAGATACTTAGACATTCATTCATTTACTGATGACTTGCACTTGCATCTGCAGCCTCCCAATGAGTATACTGAGGGGTTGCTCGGGTTGGTGGCCTCACTCGAGGGCATGGTCCTGCGGAGAGAGACGTAGTTGTCCATCGTCGGTGTCCCGGTACTCTTTAGTTTTCTTGCATTTATCATACTTCTGATGACATGCTGAACTTGAACATTTCACTGCATTGATTGATTGTATGTATAGAGCACATTTGACACACACCACATTTATGTACTGTATCTGCATACACCCACTCTATGTAGTTTTCTTGCATCTGCATCTAATATACATACTTTGGCTGATGTATTTAAATTGCGCTCTTTCTTTTTAGATGCCTCCGCTACATACTGGGCCACAGGCCGGGCCATCCAGGCCTTCTCGGAGAGTTGGGAGAGGGGGTTCGACTCGCGGTCGAGGCGGACACAGAGCGCCAATCATAGAGGAGTCCAGTGAGGAGGATGAGAGACATTCGCTGACAGAGAGGGTGACTCTAGTTTCGGTTCCGGTAGTGGAGATGATGTCGAGGAGGGTTTCGAGGATGGCAGCTCCGATCCAGATGATGATGATGGTGCAGAGGCTGTTCCACAGAAGAGGACGAAGAGGGCCTCTTATTCCTGCAGTTGATAGCATTAATGCAGCTGTTCCCTGCTTTATTTGCCTTTTTTACTAGTAGTTGTAGCACATTGTACATTATTAGGTAGTTTTATTTTTTGTAAAACTTGTACCCTTGTTGTAAAATGTTGTAAGAAAGGGAAGCATGATGGAATGAAACAACTTTTGTTCAAAAAAATGTTGTATTTTATGTTCTTAGCATCGCATCGCATCATTTTGCATGAAAATGAGATTGAATGGAATTGTGCATTGAAAATTGCCAAGTTAGGTAGTGAACCGACGCAACAAACTAAACAACTTAACTTACTAAGAAACAACAAAACCTTAGCAAGTTTACAACTCGATAAGCAAGACACAACAACGTTGAGTAAACATAGAGTAACAACTCGATATACAAAACTCGACAACTCGACAAAACCTAACGACTCGACAAGCAAAACAACTCGGTAAGCAAAACAACAACTCGATAAGCAAAAACAACAACTCGATAAGCAGGACTTAACAACAACTCGATAAACAAATGCATTTTGGGTGATCTGGGCGACGGAACGTATCCGAAACTGAGGTAAACTCGAACCTTCAACACTCCCGACATATGGAAATGCTAGGAACTCTCTTCTAGAAGCTAAGACAAGACCAAAGCCCTGTTTCTCTCTATGGCCGACCACCTAAGGAAGCTGGCCGACCAGCTTTTTTCATTGGAGACCAATGGGTGGTCGGCCTACCAGAAAAGGTGGTCGGCCGACCACCTGGTTTGGCAACCACCAGTTTTTCGACACGTGTCCCCCGAACAGTACCTTATCCTCTTTAAAAGTTCTAGCCTTGTGGTTCATTCATTTCATCTCAGTTTTGCATCAAAATGGAGGCGTTCCTCATCCAAAATCTCATAGCTTGGATTGCTTCTCTGGATGGCTCGGAAAAGTTGAACTTCCGGGGCTTCGGCTTGAATGCACTATTCACGCTGGGCCATACTCCGTTGCATCTTCCTTTCCTCTATGCCGCAACAAGGTTTTGGAATCCGGTAACACACGTTTTTAGCTTTAGCGGGCAAGAGATGTGTCCTACTTTCGAAGATTTCCAAGCTTTGATGGAATCCGAGCGTAATGAGGAAATCTTGCGTCAACTCCGATTTGGCCACGTCCAAGCCCTAGGACAAATGTGCGGCCTCACTTTGCATGACGCTCGATCATTGATTCATGACGGGGAGCTGGACATCCCAAGCTTGGTTCGCTGGTTTTTTGATGCTGGTGACCGCGGTGACCATCATTGGCAAGGCTATCGGCGACACGCGCTTTGCCTATGCTTGCTATCTCATTTCTTGCTTGCCCCGGGCTCCCGTGGATTCAGTGTCCAGTTGATCGAGGTTGCCCAAGGTTTGAAGGAGGGCAAGAGCTGCATTGCCATGACATTGGCTGAGACATTGATGGGCTTAGACGCTTTTCATCGCCGGGAGACGGCTAGGCTTGCAGGGAGCCCACTACTATTGCAGGTAATGTTTCCCACCCAATCTCACATATGTATTGCTCACATCACTCTGAAAATAAAATTTATTCCCAATAGTAAACATGTCATCTAGAACGATTGATGTCCACAAACGTATTTTTTTTTAGTTCAATTGAGTTCAATAGATATATAAAGCCTAACAAAGGCATACAATAGTCAGAGAAAAAATAACAAAACATGAGTCTTATAATAGAAAATAAATAAATAACACAACAAAACTTGAAAAAATTATCAATTTTTTATATTTAGTAAGAATTGATTCCATAATCTCCAATATAAAAGTGTTAAGGAGTGACTCAGTCTACTAGCTCAATTAATTTGTTAGAAAGGTCTCACTGTCTAATATTTATATATGAAAAATATAAAGAATTTACTTTTATAAATCTCGAATTTACTCTGAATATGTTTGTATGGCAAAAATTAAATTAATAAAAAATAAAATTTACATATGTAATAAATATGAGCTATTAATTTATTTATTTTTCTAAATAAACTATGAATTGATAAAGATAAATTTGTAATATTGTTGTTTATATATATTTGCATCACCCACTTCCGCCCAACAAATCAGCGATCTACAAGGTCGTCCATATAATGCTTCAAATGGTGCCGTACCGATGCTAGCTAGGAAGCTATTGTTATAGGCGAACTCAATTAAGGATAGGCGTCGTTCCCAACTTCCTTGAAAATCCATTGCGCAAGCTCTCAACATATCTTCGAGTGTCTGGATGGTGCGTTCAGATTGTCCATCCGTTTGCGGGTGAAAGGCGGTGCTAAAACATAACTCAGTACCAAGAGTTTCCTGCAGGCTTCCCCAAAATCGAGGGGTGAATCATGGATCATTTTAGTTGAAAGATAACTCCTTAAT